ATAAGATGGAATAAAATAAATAAAATGGCTTAGAGAATGTATTACAAATGTGTTTGGTGGACATAAACAGAAGGATAGTCAGGCTATTCTGTGCTCTGCAAGTTTCAAAGCACTCCTTCCTTCCTTTCTATCTCTTTACCCGCTTTTGCTCTCCATCTCACACTCACAAACATAATCCACCACTGTGGATTCAGACAGAGATGACAGATGTGATATTTTGAAGGGGGCAGTCTTGTTTGGAGGCTGCCTGGTGGAGGCCATGTCATAATGAAGCAGTGCAGCTGCAGTGAAGATGCCTAGGAAGGATCACAGGAGATCAAGGAACTCCCCGTCAAAGAAAAACACCCTGCCCTTCACAGTCAGCTTGTGAGAGTTGGCCTGCTGTGGCTTGGCTCAACTGCAGATAAATACCAAGCTCACTTTAGCATACACATGAAGACTTTCTAAGAGTGCGCCCTTTTATAGTGTGTAGAAGGTGTGTTTGTAAGGTGGTGAACATGACTAAGGAGGGGGTGGTGAGTGGAAAGAAGGGCTTGACACTCTTCTCACAGAGGACTATAAGAAAGATATTACAGTACAGTATGTGTTTGTGCTCATACTTGAGGTCTTATCTTAAGAAAACTATCACAAAAAAGTACAATACTACAGCACAGCAAGCAACAGTTTTAGATATGAGATCCAGGTAATTATGCTGAACATGCAGCACATGGATATTCATGCAAATTAATTCAAAATAATGTTAAAGTTACAGGAAACACTGTGTGTATAGCTGAGTCAAAACAAGTTACTTATGCAATTAAACACTGGAGGACATTTGAGAATGGGTGTTTGCAAAGTCAACTTTTACTAATACTTCTACCTGATTGTTTTGATGCTTTAAATGTATCTTGTGGTACTTTATCTTTTGCTTAAAAGCTGCAAACTTCCAAACAAACTAGCAGATAAAAAAATCCTTACATCCATCAGACTGTGGTATATGGCTAATGCCTTAATAACAAACAACTGCATACTTGCACGTCTAACAGGTAAAGGTCCACGTTAGAATTATTTGCAGGTCTGTGTTTATCTACCTGATGAATGTAAATCCGACCCCTGCTGGTCTCCATACCAGCAACTGGGAAAATTTAAGTCTCTTTAGCTGCTGAATGCTCCACAATAGTCACCAATAGTTGTATTATACTGTGAGGAGCTGGGCATTGTATGTCCAAGCTGTAAAAGCCCTGACTGTATGATGTTTTCAGTTTCTACCTTGTCTTTCTATCTTGTCTGGCTGCTTAAGTATTTTTCAACTGATGTTCTCACTCATTAGATCATGTTGAGTATTTTATAATAATTTTAGATATTGGGCTCCTGTTAGCTGATGAGTCTCACAACTGATCCCAATCTTATACTACTGAGACACCAACTTATTTAATGTATTTATACTTTAATTTATTATAGTATTCTTCCAATAGAAGCATGTATTTCTACGCAAACTTTATGAAAATCAAAAATCCAATGCCACATAGTTATTTGTTATTAATTCCAGGTAATTTTAGGTAACATTATAAATTAGATTCATCTAATGGTAACTGGCAATGGCGTTATGTAATGGTTTCATTACAATTCTGAATAAAACAGTGCATTTATTCCACAACTCAAACTCTCCCTCTCTGCTTTTCCAGTAGATGTTTGAGAATGTACAGTGCCACTGTGTGGGAGCAGGGTTAGGTACACATACTCACAGAAGCTTGGACCAGGCTGCCCGATAACAGCCTGTTGAATTGCTGGTGAGAGAGCAGTGTGAGGAACAGCAGCTACAATAGCTAAAGTAACACCACTCCATGTCACTACTAAAGCTACTGATGTAGTTTTTCAGTTTTTCAAATGAAAATGAAGTAATATTAGTGTTTGATGTCTGACACATTGACCTTCTTCCTTTCATTAACAAGCACTGTTACAGTTCGATATAAATGATCTTATATACTACTTTTCTATGCGCTGAAGTGCACTCAAAGCACTTTGCAATATTTTCCATTCAGTCATTCGCATACACAAATGCTCATACATTCACACACTGGTGATCTCTCCGGAAGCAACTAGGGTTCATTTAGGGGACGACCCACACTACCTCCTGAGCACACAGCCACCCCAAAGCTGGGAGTTTTCTAGAAGTGATTATACACACTTGCAAACAACATAAAATTTTCACACAAAACTAAAACTTGCTTGCTCTATCCTTTTGTACCTTGCCCGGTTCTCATGTGCTAACTTCAACCCCAGGGATCAATAAAGTCTTATCTCAAAACCCTACCCTGTTCCAAAACCTCCAACAGTCATCTTGGAATGCTAAAAATAGATTTTGGAGGAAACATAATCGCTGTCTGAATTAAATTAACTGGCTTTTGTTTTTTTTTAATCCAGTGTGACAAGCAGGTCATAGGCAGAATATCAAAATAATGGTTGCATGTAGTAGAGCACAGGGCTTCAGAAACTCCGTTCCATGCGTTACCTAAAACTGGTTAAGCTTAGATTATGTTTTTAATTAAATCTTCAAAGGGTTTAAGATCACTGATCACTGTATCCTTCCCGTTTAAATCTGTTTCTCTCATGTTGCTCATGCAAATTATTTGTATATATGCACAGGTTTTGGGGGACAGGGTTGGATAAATATACAAACTGCTGAGAGCAATACAAACAGTACACTTAAATAATTAATTAATCAGTGAGCATTCCTTCATCTGCATTCATCTGCATATTTGGAATTTACAGCATAATGCTAATGTTAAAAAGCTACAGAGGTCTGCAACATGTTATACTTAGGTCAACGTTCTACACACAGGGGTTTGAAACATGTAATTAAGGAAACCGAGGCCTTGCAAAACAGAGAACAGAAAAGAGTATGTTCTGCTAAACACAGCTAATTAGAGCTGAGACATAACTGGGTAGGATAAGAACAAAAACATAAGGTCATTCTGTTTAAAACAGACATGCTGAAAAATGTTTAGTTGATTATGTTAATTGCATTCTGTATCAATCCTGCTGTGGACACGAGTCAAACCATGGGCAGCTCCCTGGAAGTGCAAGGAGCCCAAGAGAATATTCATTAATGTTAGACAACTTCACTACTGGCTCTATTCACATGCTTCGGATAAACAGCTTTTTTTTTTTTTTTTTTTTTTTAAGTGCAAATGTAAATGAAATATTCAATGTCTGTCTAATTTTATAACTGCTTGTAAAATTAACCATTTCAACTGACATAAATACATGCATCACTGAGACTGATTTCATCTGGTCCCATCGAACTGCTCTGGACTATAATTAAATGGTTCTGATATCAATCGTGTTAAACATGGCAGCGCTGAGAGATCTCTGGCTTTAGACACTGCTTGCTTCACTACCAGCTGCAGTGTGCTTTCTCTAGACTGAACATGAGGTGGACATTACCATTAGGCAAGGAAGGCAACTGCCTGGGGCCCTCAACAAAGAGAGGCCCCATTACCCTCATACTATGATGCTTTGGTACTATACATACTAAATTACTTTCTTATTTAAAGCCACATAGAGCCTGCTTTACATCACTTACAAATTGCACTCAAAGCATCTCATTTATCACCCACACCCCTGCACATTACAGGTAAATGGACTCTCCCATCCAGAGACACCACTGCCGCTGCTCCAAATGCTGCACCAGAATTAAACATTAAATAAAAGTATCACAATGGGACTCCTAAGAGGACAGGGGCACAAAAGCCAATGCAACAAAAGACAACTACATTCAGGAAAGCAAGACAGAGAAGAAGTGGCAACATGCTGGTTCAGTTAACAGTTCTTGTCAGGCAACCAGAAACAACAAGGTACATTACTGCATTCATGACCCCCAGAAACAGTTCATACTAACATAACACAGACAAATGGAGAAATATTTCCATATAAATTGCATTTTTCATTTCAAAGTGTTTTTCATTTCATAGTAAATTGTCATTCTTATATACAATCTTACAAAACCTGGACAAAAACTCATACTTTCTGGGTGGATTGCTAACACCAGATAGAAAATGAACAGCTTAAATAGCCCATGAGAGAGAGGTCATGGCTTATTTGAGGAGAAAAAGTTGCATTTATCTTTTGTAACCACTGAAAATCCTAACCATGTGCAATGATGGCTTATCTAACTCCATTAACATATGTAACAACATATTGTTGTTACATATTTTTTATTGACTGATAATTGGAGTAGGAGCATCCTGTAAGAGATCACATCCACGCACACAGTAATGTCAGAACTGCAAACAGCATAAGACTCTGATGCATATTCTCTGTACTTGACAGCAAGATGAAAACATCTCCACAGTTCTGATGGAGCTCAGGACGAACATGAGAATCGCTGCTGTGCAACTATATGATTCGACTGTAGCTCATAAACTGGGATTCTGTGTGAGATGGCTCAAAGTGCAAAAAAACACAAGATCCCACTTGCCATTAGATTCCTACTGATCCTGTCTTTGTGTCTGGGACAATCAAAACTGACAAATAATTTATGATGGCGTTGTGCCACATGTGAAAATGTGCAAACACCTATTTCACTTTCAATTCTTGAAGGAAGGAAGGAAACTTTGAATACCAGAAAATACACAGACCTACACCTTCCTTAGTACCAATAAAATACCCAGTTAGACAATCAGTGAAAATAAAGAACTGGGGAGGCATCATATCTGGGTTTGCCTGGGACCCCCAGATGATTAAATCTGCCCCTGCTGAGCCACATGAACTATTATAAACAAGGTTTCCATTGTCTACTGCAGCTGTACTTCCTCATAACTGCAGTGAGATAATCAGGAATGTCCAGTGATGAAAGTATAAGCTAGATACACTTTCTTTTAAAACAGATTGTGTTACCCTTTTGCCAATAACGTACGTTCACTTACTTAAAAAACACACTCATGCAGACAGGAACAAAGCTTAATTAAAAGACAGTACATATAAAACTAATGTAACTAATAATGTTGTACAATACTTACGCCTCATGTCTCTGAAATAAATTGTCTGTCTGTTGGGGTTGAGCAGCTGGATAACGGAGTCATCATTATTCTTCACCCGACAGCTGATGATCGCCATCTCACCCTCCACCACAGACACATTATCTGTCACCAGGTTCTGACTGACCACTGGACAGGACAAAGACAAGGACAGAAGTTACCAGTAATATTTTACCATATGCATAAAAAGAAAAGAGAATCCATACCACTGTTAAAAGCCTTTTTCCCCCAAGATACCTGTGCTAATGGCATAGAATCACAATCACTTTCGTGTGTTTTGATGGAAACCAGGAGGGAAACGTGGCTACAGAAACAACTAGCACACATGAGATTAATGAGAAAGCAAGGTTAGTACCTACACAGTAAAAACTATATATCTGCTTCAGTGTTACAAGTGATATAAAGCCGATCACCCAGAGGAGAAGAGAATTCAACAAAAGATTTTCTTGTCTAGGATCGTTTCTCCTAGACATGCTTAAGCTTGTTTTAAAACCAGAATGACATTTTGATCGATTTTTCATATCTCTAAAATGTAGCTATTTAGCAGTTTAGGGACAATAAAGACAGTTGGCGGTGTCTCTGATATTAGAGTGGGTTAACCCTGAGCCTAACTGTTCATATACTGAGGTGTCCTTGCAAGAGGCTGAACCCCCAGCTCCCAGTGGGCAGGTCAGTAATAGTAGAGTATTTTGTCTGTTTATGTGCATGTAAGTTTACAATTTTACATTAGATTTGCCTGATACCAAGGCTCAATAATACCAAGATCTAAGCAGAATATAGTGCTTGTCAAGTACATCTCAACTTTGATTTATCTTTGCCTCGCAAAGCGGTCATTCAGGATAAACCCTATAAACACGGCCTGTCCTCATTTCTTCTGCTTCGCCAGTTCCAATGGCAGTTTTTCTAAAATTGATCTTAGCTGTTGCTCCTCAGTTCTCCTAAGGCAGGGTTTAGGAGAAGAAGTTCAGACTTCAGTACCCTCAAAATAAGAACAAGATTAACTTCTCAGCAGACAAAGGAAAGACAACTGTGAGCAGCAGTTTTCCTCTAGGCAGGGCAATACAAACTTAAGACAACTTAAAAGGTTTAACACTCAACTCAAGGGAAAATTAAATTCAAAGACTAAGAATGGGGACCGAGAGACCTCTAACATGTTTGCTAGCATGTGGGTCAGGGCCACCCTAGGGGCTGAAAAGATAAGAGTGAGATGTCACAAGACAATTAACAGGACAGGAAAAAAATGTGCTAAACAAATTCAAACTGAGAAAATGTGGTTGTAACATGCAAATGCTGACAATAGATCGCAAGTACTGTAAAAATCTAGGACATGTCAAAAGAGTCAAGTCAATGATTCCATTAAGCTCTGTGAATGTTGTGGCTTTAAAACTTTGCTTAGTGCTTACTATTTCTTTTACTCACAATATAAAAACACTCTTTAATTTTCCTTTCTCAAGTGAGTGTTTTGTTTTAATACTGTACAATATATGAGGAGTTGCACCATGCAGCAGGTGGCAGACCAAAATCTTTTAATGTCTGTCCATGGGCATAAATAAACAGTGTGATGAAGGAAACTGCTCCTGTGGGCTGAGAATAATTGGTCACGTCACATCATCGGTCATCAGCCGCCACTTAGACTCCTCCGCTTCCTTGTTTCACAAACAATATCTCCGCCTGAAGAATGAAAAATTGATTCTTCATAGCTCTGTGCTACTTTGATTTGAAACACTACAGTAATAACATCTCAGATTTTGCTTTGGGGTTGGATCCATTGTTGGGGTTGATAGTAAGCCATGAGCGGCTTAGGTTTATTTTAAATGATCGCTACAAAACTATGGTTTGGAGGCTTGCCAGCTGTGGCTGATAGTTATATTAGTCCCCAGCGCTAGACTTTTATGGAGAGATACACAAGCTCACACACACACTCATGCTCTAGGCTACATGGACAAACGCAATCAAATCAGCAATTTAGGAAATCAAGTAACTGTATTTCAAATGCTTAAGCTACTTGTGTCAGAAGAACAATTCTCTGTAACATATCAACTGCAAATAGTGCAGGAGATTACGCAGGAGCACACACTTCAGGTGTGCACTACTTCTGCTGTGCTGTCCAGCAGCTTCTCTGTACTGTATCAAAATTTGCATTTGAATAAAAATAAAACATTTTATGAAATAACTTTTACATTTTTCATCTTTATCTCACTCAAACAAATCTCAAAATAAAAAAAGTGTTCCAGGGTAAAGGAGAAACCTTTTTTAACAAACCTCCAGTTAAACATGAAGTGAAACATTTGTAGTTATCCAGATGTAAACAAGTACAACAGGTAATACAAGCAAAAGAACATCTTTTGAATCAATCCCACTGAAAATGCAGTTCTTAAAGTATTAAGTGATTTCCTCATTGTGTACTATTTGTCATAGATTTGAATGTAGTTTTCCCTTCTCCAAGGTGTTTCTGTAGGCTCCGCCATGGCTGTAAGCACTGCCACAGCTTGAACAAACACACGCCCAGTATAGACATGAGCGTGCACATTGTGTAAAGTTGGCCGAGATGCATGTCAAACTACACATCATGATCACACTGGCCAATGTTTTTCTTGTGGCTCTTTTATGACCTGCTAGATGCCTGAAGGTGATCAGACAGGTAAGGGCCAGATGTGGACTTCTGGGATTAGATATGTCAGCAAGCAAGCAATAGATGTTGTCAAACTAGGCAAGAAAAGGCAAACAATCTTCCAGCTGAGGCTGAAAAAATAATGTATGGATAAAGTCTTTGTGATTCCCCTTATACTTTCCTCCTACACAGTTATGAAAATAGCATCACAAATACATCTTCCCCTAGAGGCTAAAAGGACTGAGTCAGGGGTGGGGACGGGGGTGAGAAGCGAAAGAAACTGAAAGAATGCAGGAAACATCAACTGCTAATTTGCATGCCTCAGTTGTCAAGTATCTCTAAATATCTCTGCCATTTAGGAAACGAGGGTGGGGTGGGAAGAGGGAAGAGAGAGCATTCTCAGATGCTGACAGTTAAAGATAGACAGCTTAACAAACGAGATTCCAATTCAGCACAAAACGTGGCCTAAACACAGCCCAAATAAATGAACCTGGTCGTCTTTAATATTCAAGACCGAACCTCATTTTTCAAAGATGTGTAGATGTGGGCAGCAGGGTGGGCATCTGGTTATGTGAATACATTAACAAAATGCATCTCACGGCGTTCACTTGCAGCAGCAGGGTGGTCCTAGGTGTCAGCTGAGCTGTGTTTTAAGCCAGTGGATGTAGAGGGACTGACTTCAAACGGTGGCGGCACTGTCAGTTGCTTAATTGTTCATGTTGTGCTAAATAAACAACTCTGACATGCTGAAGTATGTTGCAGGAGGGCAGGGAGGCTTTACACTAATTAACGGCCAACACAACCATGTGCCATGGCCACAGTCAGATGTGCTATAGAAACAGACTTCTGACATCTTGCTGAGCAAAGAATGTTTAAGTGTTCAGTGTTAGCTTCTGTAACATATCAAAGTGTTCTCTGACATGAGAATCACTAGAAGAATTTTATTACTGGACAATCTTTCATTGTATAATCTGTTGATCATCGGTAATGACTTACAGTATGGACACCAGAGGTGGGGGACTCAAGTAGAGTCCAAGGATTATGTTGTCAATGACAGTAGTAAGAAGAGAACAGCGGTATGCAAAGTCTGCAGAGGAAAAGTCAGTGACATGACCACCACAATGTCTAACTTCATCCATCACTACAAAACTCACTAAGAAACATAAATGTGTATGTTTGCTAAGTTACTGGTAGGTCAAACATTAGCTAGAAAGGTAACATTAAGTTGTTCGACTTGTCTTTGAATGGATTATGTATTTTGGTAAAAAGGTTTATCATGGCTATGAAAAGCCTGCCTTTTTAATTTTATAGCTATAGCTAATTTTATAGTCATAACATTATCTGATCATCACAAGTTTCTGTGACTTGACTTGTGATTTGCTTGACTTGTTTGATTCTCACTAGAGTAACTCGGGACTTGCTTGAAACTTTAAGGTTAAGACTTTGTTTGTGACTTACTTCCATCTCTGAAGGACACCTTCACAAATGTGTTACACTGGTTTGGGACTGCTTGTCTTGTGTTAAATTCTGTTCCCTTGTCAAGATGCGTTTTCCCCTGTTAAAATTATTTCCAGTAGCCCTCTGTCCTCTATCATCTAATCTGGGGGTTGCTTTCATTTCATTTTAACTAAATTCTTAACTATGCTGGGTTTTACTGCACCTGCCACCAACACCTCCACTAACCTCTCCATCAGACTGCACTGGATGCCTGTGGCTAACCCAGAAAAATTGCAGAACCTGAAGGTCGGAGCTTTGATGTTGTGCTCTCCAACTGCCTGCTTCATGTGATGCCTGATGTCCCAGCTGTACACCTCCTGAATGGTCGCTCTGCTCCACACAAACAGTGCACTTTTCTGCACCCTGGGCACAGCACTCAATGTTTGCTCCATGGGCCTTGTCAGTACCAGCGGGGCTATCACCACCACACTGCCTCCCAAAGGAAACATGCAGGTCACTCCGCTAAGCATCTCTCCCTCGCAGCATGCAGGCAGTCCAGCTTTTCAATTTCTGGCCCTAACCATGCTGGCATTTGTGGATTCCTTCATTGAGGGTGTGCAAGCAAAACTGCCAAAACCTTTTTTGCTTTCCTGTAACTACCATCAGTGATTTGGCTGAGAAAATTCCCAGCCTGACACATTTCCCACACTAACAAAGGTTGTGATACACTTTGACACAAACAAGATCAAATAGCAATGGGCTGAACTGGTGATAAGTGGTTTTAGCATTCTTTATACCTTGCTAAGAGGCCACTATGGCAAAAAAGGAAAAAAAAAAGTCAATCTCTGGACCAATCCCCACACTGGGTCAGGACATTAGCCAGTTTCTAGACTCCTCAGACTGCAGACATGAATCCAACCATGGGCTCTTTTATACAGCATAGACAAATTTAATCTCCTGTGGGGAAAGTTGATCTATTTAAAAAAAAAAAAAAGCTGTACTACACCTAAACTACATGGATTAATAGATTTTAACACCAAACCTTCTCCAGTGTGTGTTTCTGCACATAAATGGGCAGCTA